TAACTTTTTTGGATTTTAGAAGCTACTATTTTTTTGTGTTGGAATAAAAACATACAAAAAAACAAGGTTTAGGTTGGAAACGAATTAAAACGATTTTTTATTTTTGATATGTTTGTCGGAAGGCGGCTCTATGAGAAGCCTATCGGGAAAAGTTGTGTGATGCTGAGTCTTTTTGTTGATATGTTATCTTCCTCTCGTTTGGACAACAGGATGGATACGAAGTAAAAAGCGTTTGGGCTCTTGGAAAGATCATGAGGCCACAGCCCCTGTGAGGTGTGTATAAAGCCTTTTCAATAGAATTGGAGGTTATGGCGGTCCATTGGACCGCCTGTACATCAAGGGTATTTATACATTGTTGGGGCTACATGAAGAGACACAAAGCAGCTGCTCATGTTTTTCCAAATTGTTGGCGGTCCATTGGACCGCCTTTAGGGACGGAATGATGTTCTAGTGGAAGTGGAAATGTTTAAAACGGATGATTATATTTGTTTCATGTTCAGTTTTGGTTCAGCATATCATATTTTTCAAAAAAAACACAAAATACAAAACACATGTTTACACACGTTTACACATTTTTACACATTTTTACACATGTGTAAGTGGATTTTTGTTGGGTTTACACATGTGTAAGTGGTCTTTTTTGGTTTACACATGTGTAAGTGGATTTTTTTGGTTTACACATGTGTAAGTGATTTTTTTTGACTTACACATTCTTACACATCCTTACACATCCATACACATCCATACGCATTCAGGTATATTGTAGTCTTTTTGGTTCATGCTTTCGTACAGTGACATCATATGATATGCTTTTGAATCCTTCAAAATGACTGCGGTCCAATGGACTGCATATCTTCTCGCATTTCTTGCAATGAACTTACGCGTGATAAGCATGTCTATTGATTCAAAAGTGCGGCCCACTGGATCGCATACCTATATAATTCTCTGGTCAATCAAAAACATATTGTTGGGGTTTATGTTTCATCAAGGGAAGTAGCGGCTACCGACAACTCCTGTTCTGAACCATGAACCATGAAACCAAACCGAATTTGAATGCCACGTCGCACGCCTTTGGTCATCCGTGGATGTTCTATCCTGCGGCCCTTTGGGCAGCAACTCTCTCATTTATTTTTTCCAAATTAAAATTGTCCAACCCAAAGTTTAAAAACATCATCAAATTTTCAAGTGCAGCAAAGAAATTCGAAGAAAACTTACGAAACAAAGGTTTCTTCAACACAAAAAATAAAAATGCAAAACGCAATGATGAAGAAACAACTGCTAAAATACCTTTCTTTTCATGTTCAAAATGACTTAAAATAACTTAAAACTTGCAAGTTACTTATATCTCACTTATGTTACTTAGAGCTACAATTAAACAGTTAAGTTTCCTAAGTTAACTTGTAAGTTGTGTAAGTAGGTCAAGTGCCATAAGTAATTTACATGTATTCTATCTCAAAACCATCCACCAAGTATGGGTCCGGCATTTTCCCTGTAAATTTCCGCACAAGATGTCTCTTCTGACATGTCCATGTGCATTTCGACTGCGCAGGCTGGGACGAAACGCTGGCCGCGGGAGAAGCGTCCGGCATTTTCCTTGTAAATCTCCGGGCAAAATGATGCAAAATGGCTCTTGTGAAATATCCATATGCATTTCGATTACGCAGGCTCGCACAAAACGGGTGTCGCGGGCTCGGCGTACGGCACTTTTCTTGTTGATTTCCAGACAAAATGGCTCTGGTGAAATGACGAGAGCATCGGTCTTTCTTTGAACAGAAATCTTTCTTTGAACAGAGATCTTTCTTTGAGATCCCGTACAAAGAGCTTCTGTGGAGATCTCCTATAGGCATCTTGCCATTGCACAGAGAGCCTTCTACAGGGATCTTGGACAGCAGCTTCTACAGAGAACCTCTTCTACCGAGATCTTGACAAAGGGAGCTTGCAGAATCTGACCTGGTATCTTTTTTTTGTTCCCCAAACAGTGTGGCCACACTGACGGGTTCTTGTAATTAAGGGCCGGTGTTCAATCGAGGTGGTATCGGAAGCGTCCGGCATTTTCCCTGTAAATTTCTGCACAAAATGCGTCCTGTGATATGTCCATGTGCATTTCGACCGCGCAGGCTCGCACAAAACACTGGTCGCGGGATACGCGCATGGCATTGTCCGTGTAAATTTCTGCACAAAATGCCTCTTGTGATATGTCCATGTGCATTTCGACTGCGCAGGCTCGCACCGAAACAAGTGTCGCGGGATTGGCGTTCGGCACTTGTCCTTCAAATTTCCATACAAAATGGCTCTTGTGCAATGTCCATGTACATTTCGATTTCGCAGGCTCGCACAAAGTGTGCTTCCTGTCTCTTGGGATCGGTCTTCCTCCTCGACATCCTCCTCCTCAACATCGGCATCTTCCTCCCCCTCCTCAACATCCACATCATCATCTTCCTTTCATCATCATTGCAATCATCATCACCACCACCACCACCATCATCGTCATCATCATCACCATCACCATCACCATCACCATTAAATCATTATCATTCATCATCGTCGTCATCATTATCATCGTCATCGTCATCGTCATCGTCATCGTCATCGTCATCGTCATTATCATCATCACCATCATCATCGTCATTATCACCATCATCACCATCATCATCGTCATCAGCACCACCACCACCACCGCCGCCATCATCATCATCAACAACAACAACATCATCATCATCATCATCATCATCATCGCCATCATCGTCATCATCATCACCATCATCATCATCATCACCATCATCACCATCATCATCGTCATCAGCACCACCACCACCACCGCCGCCATCATCATCATCAACAACAACATCATCATCATCATCGCCATCATCGTCATCATCCTCATCATCATCATCATCATCATCATCGCCATCATCATCATCGCCATCATCGTCATCATCCTCATCATCATCATCATCACCATCATCATCATCATCACCGGCACCATCACCATCATTATCATCTTAATTTTCATTAACATCACCATCACCATCATCATCGTCATCATCAACATCACCATCCTCATCAACATTTTCATCAACATTAACATCATCATCAACATTATAAACATTATCCCTTTACTCCCCCCACACTGTTTGGGGTCTCTTGCCAGGATATTTTTTGTTTTTGATGGGGAGTTGCTTTGCATATTTTGACCCTCAATTGGGACAAAGGTTCTAATAGTTCTGGGGTAATGCAGGTATTTCGTCAGAAAAAATAAAACACATAATTGGTCATTCGATTATTGAAGAGAACATCACCATGGATTTCCTTTCCGAAAAAATTGGATAGGATGCGGATGATATCCCAGGAAGATCTCAGCTGGAAACGGCATCGTCCATGGCATTCCCCTTGCCCGCTTACGGGCAAAATGTATCCTTACATACAGTAGATATGGATATACAGTATGTTGACCATATCTATGAAATAAAAAATGTTATATATATATATACCCAAGTAGTCCCAGGTCTATTCTTTTTATAGACATTAGGTATACGTATATACATTCGCACATGTCCCTGTGTCACGCCCTGTCACGCCCCACCACCTATACCTACCAGTTGAAACATGTTAAAACAACAGCGTGTGCACATGGACATATCCCAACTTGAACAAAGGTCCTAAAATTAGAAACATGTTTATGGCAGGATTTCCAACAACTCTCTGGCGCATGATTCGCCATGTTTTCTCTGGTTCTTTGTTTGAAGCTTCACGAGCTCAAATTCTTTGCGCGGCAGAATGGTTGAGCCTAGGCAACCCCCAAAAATGTAAAACAGGAACTCACCACAAAAACCATGCCATCTCCCACGCGCACATGCATGCACGATATTGCTGGAACACATATGGGCATATGTTGGTTCAAGAAACTTTCCGATTCGACATTTCAAGCTCCGCAATGGTAGTTTAGATACTTTCAAAAGGCCCAAGATCGTTGGTGAAGAGGATGTGCGCGGAGTACTGTGCCTGATTTCTTAAATATGCTATCATGAACCAGCAAAAATCACAAACAGTGTAACATGAAGTGAATGCAGCCATGTTCACTACCATGAACAGGGAAGCCTACCAGTGCTACAAGTCGTTTCTACTAATATACACCAGAAGAAGTTGAAACAAGAGACGGCAAAGCCACCCCATAGAATCTTCATCACAAAATGTATGTTCAAATCTCGCATTCACACCTTGGAGTGGACATGTTGATTGCTGAATTAAATTGAAGAAAGCAATGGAATCCAGATTCAACCCTTGGAGTCCGGAGTTGGGATGCACGAAACACAAATTAAATACATACCCAAAAGATCCCAAATGATGCCCAAATGAGTTGGGGTCCCATCATTCAATTTCTCACAGATAAAAATGGCTCTGGTGAACTTGTTTTGTTTTTGGTTCATGCATGCATGGAAATCATCCTGTGGACATGTGGGAGGGCACTTGAACCAATGCAAGTTTGAGATCCGGCATAGGTATGCAGCCATGATCCATGCGATATTGGTTCAATCAATTGCCCAACATGACCCGCTGTAGCAATTACGGGTACGCCCTTGTTGGCATGAATACAAATTGAACAAGTGCACAAATATACCAAAATTATCCAAAATTGATAGATTTTTGGGGGTAGTGGGACCACGCAAAAGTTTAGACATTCCACGTTAAAGTACGGACATTCCACGCACAAATTTAGACATTCCACGGTCTGCCCACGGTCTGACCACGCATGTGACACGGTCTGGTCATAGTGCAACTGCAAGTGGGTCAGAATTTTAAAGACCCACAGGACTTGAAAAAGCACGGGCTCCCACCCAACCATAAATTTTGGATATGATGGGGCATGATGCTTATTTATGACATTTTCTGGGAATTATCAATATACCCACATATATATAATGTTTTGTTGGTGCAATTTATCCCAAGCATAGGCCGGGTGCAGTCCCATTGGATGCAACCACATGTATGTATATATACACGGCCTAGCTCCCAAAAGCTAACCACGTTGCCCGGGTATTGCCAGCAACTGGATTCCATGTTGGGATTTTACCGAGGTGTTTCGTGCTTGAGTCTGGAGTCCGTCAAAGGATTACCACTGGATCAAGCAAAATCCCTCGAGTCCGTCAAAGAGTTTCTGATGGAGCAGAAAAGCCAAGGAAAGTTCAAACCAACTTTCCGTTGTGGTTTGTAAACTATTATAGCGGCCTATGCCCCAAATTCAAGAAATATATCTTTTCCCAATCCTTCAGCAGGGCCATGCGCCCTGGATCTAGGCGGACCCTACTACGCCCACTCATTATGGGCTAAGGCCGCCCATAACTGAAGAACCAAAAATGGCTACTAAGTCAGAGGTTTCAAGATTTTTTATATCATCCCAAACACGCATGAACGAACTCATCTTATCAGTGCTGGTGCATTGCCGGGCTGGTGGCACCTAAGTCCGATTCATCATCACTGAGATGACCATCCTGTGTCTCGTAGTGGCCTAAAGAAGCAGTTGGTTTGATAAGGGTTGATTGTAATCAAACAAGATGAAACCTGAACGCTTCTGAATCCTTGAAGACTAAGTATCTGACCTTGTAATAATAGGGCCCTCTTCATGAGAACACTCGTGGGCCATGGCTGCACTGATGATCCTACTTGCTTTAAAAAATGTTCTAAGTTTCATAATTTGCCACCCGATTTGGGAAGACATCATCCCTTGCTGACATCATGTGTTGGTGTTCTAACGCTTGAACCTTGCCGACATCATCCCTTGCTGACCTGACTCCTGAGCAGAAGAGGCCAAAACCGCAGTGGGCAGGGGTGGATAGGCAAACGTATATACACGGGATCCCCTGTCAAGACAAAGTTCAGACATGAGCTTGCGTCTAAACAAAGTTTAGACATGGACCCTTTGGGCATATATATATATAATTACATACGTTCTTGGTTTTGAATTTGATATACGTGGCGCCCGAGTTTCTTTTTGAAACAACTTTGTTGACCAATCGAATTACTAGCAGAACCATGTTGCAAACCCAGTTCAAGAACAACTTATTTATCATGAAGAACAAATCATACATATACTGTATATCCCCACGTGTGTTCCTTTAACCCAGTGATTTTTTCAAACCGAAATTTATTTTTGAAACAAAACGAGAAAAACCAAGCTATCAACTGCCAGGCCATCGTGTTGCAGAAATGCGATTGAGGCCAAAGTCACTGCGGGATGATCCTGATGATCCTAGGGTCCTTAGAAGGGTAGACCAACATCGATACATTTTTCATATCTGGTTGGTGGTTTGGAATATTTTTTCCCCACCTGCCAGGTGAGGGTTGTTAGATTTTATCAGAGTTGTTCTCCTCCTCCGCCTCCTCCGCCTCCTCCTCCTCCTCCTTCTCCTCCTCCTCCGCCTCCTCCGCCGGTTTCTCCTCGACCATGTCTGCATCAACTTCCACCTCCACTTCCGCCTTGCCAACTCTTCGCCAAGCTCTTCGCCAACTTCCCAGCTCAGTGCGCACTGCTGGACCTCAACCTGGGACCTTCCCAGCTCAGTGCGCACCGCTGGACCTCAACGGCCAGATAGAATGCCAGAAGATATGCCAGATAGAATGTCAGATAGAATGCCAGAGGATATGCCAGATACAATGCCATGAGATATGCCAGATAGAGTGCCAGAAGATATGCCAGATAGAATGTTAGAAGATATGCCAGATAGAATGCCAGAAGATATGCCAGATAGAATGCCAGATAAAATGTCAGATAGAATGCCAGAAGATATGCCAGCTAAAGTGCCAGAATGTTTGCCAGATAGAATGCCAGAAGATTTGAGTAGATAATATGCCAGAAGATATGCCAGATAGAATGCCAAAAGATATGTCAGATAGAATGCCAGATAGAATGCCAGAAGATATGTCAGATAGAATGCCAGGAGATTTGCCAGTAACAAAATGTATAAATGTCATGGTGGGGATCACACGAAGTAAAGTAATGTGATTATTTTTTCAGAGGGGTTGAAACCGCCACGTTTTCCCACCGCTTGCTGGCTCGGGCTCAGGGGTTGAAACCACCAACCAGATATGGGGATTCAACCATGACAAGGAGTTTCTTGCCAAAGTGACTTGGAGGATTTGGGGGCACCTGCTCCCCCACGATCTTTCTAGGACAATCTACCATTTGTAGAATTATTTAAATTATTTCCATGGAAAAAAATTGGGTTGTCCATATCTATGTCAGTGTTATTAGACGTATTGTTTCATGGTTCTTCGTTTTTTAGATGCTGCTTTCCGAAATGGTAAGGCAGTGCCCTTCGCTGGGATGATCAGGCTAAGCAGCTCATGAAAACACACAATGTAGGGTACCCTCATGTCAAGCAACATCAACCAACATAGATGTGGAAAACCCAGCGTTTGTATGGAGACAATTTTTTGAAGAGGTTTCCGGTATGTTTATTTATGTTTATTTTTATGGATTTACACATTTTTTGAATGTTTTACCATGGGGCACCCAATTTTTTTCTTTTCTGAAATTATTGGTGTAGCTATAGAATATGTCATACAATTATTGGGGTATTCCCATCTACATAAATAGATCATTGAATGAAAATTTCTGCGAACACGTGCCGGCAGGTACCACGTTTGCACCACGCCCGCGGCTGTGGAGGACCTTCGCTGGAGATGCGGTGGTTATCCTTGGGGAAATCGGTCATTGTTTAGCAACAAAAGAGTTGAGTTAACGTTGAAAAATTGGTATTGAAACCACAAAAGGGGAATAATTGAAACTACAAAAAGTTTGGATTTTACAAACAGAATGACGATTTAAGACACGAAAACGTTGAAAATATGGTGGTTGAACCAAGAAAACGTTGCACATCAATTGCTGATTTGACCGAGATCAGCATCATCAAAATCCAGCATGGGTCGCGGATCACCACCATTAAGTCTTCAAGAGGAGCAGTCAACAACCATTTGTTCGCAACCCATTAAAGCAATAGGAGAGGGTGTTGTGTTTAGAGACAGGAGGATTCAATGAAAGCATAAGCAGTGGGGGTATATATGGGTATATGATAAAATATATATATATATATATATATATCTCTCTCTCTCTCTTCATATTGTGCATAGGTGTAGTTTATTTTTTTGCTATGCAAAGCAACCAACTGCAACGAAAGTACAGCAAGAAAAGAAAACGTGTTGTCGCAGGACATCCAGTCTGCGGATGTCAAGCAGAGCGAAGTTACTGTGCGATGGGTTCCGCCCAAGTCCCTTGGCGGCAGCCAGATCCCATAGGCTTCATGTTGAAGGGAGAAACCATAGCTAATCATTTTTGGAAGACTTGGCATAGATAGATTTAGACAGATTACCATCCAGAATGAGGTCTAGTCTTGACACCATCCACCATCCAATCCATGAACCGTAGCTGCCTCATCAATACATCCGTTTTTTTTTAATCTTTTGGGAGGGATAGAAAATGATAGAAACCTTGGTTTCCTCCAATCCATTGCTGTGCTCCGGAAAATCATTTGATCAAGTCTGAAGTTCCTACCTCGAGGTTTTTATTCCGAATGATCAGCCAAGGAATGACCATGGAGCACAGGTCATTGGCTATCAGATCTCCATCCTTTTGGATCCGAAACCCAACGTCCCTTGGCTTGGAACATCTGGATGTTGCGTTTTAATCTTTCAGGAAATCCCCTCTGTTTCTGAGTAAAATCATGTGAACTCCTTTTTTGGTCTCTTCAACTGTGTTTTGGTGAGTTCAGTTGTGTGAACTTTCCAGAAATTCACCGCGATCTGTTTCCCCAGCCAAGGAGCCGCCTCAGTGGTATAGGCTCTGCGAGTGTACCAAGAGCAAAACGCCTGTGCATCTCAGAAGTTTTCAGTTGGTGAGGGCCGGCCTGTCTGAAAATCGGCTACCCATGGCTAGGTACCCCATTCCATCAGCATTGATCAACGATGATCAATGGCAATTTCTGGCATATAACGGTATATCCAATTTCAGACATACCCGACATACCCAGTTGGTGCACAGAGGACCAGAACCCAAGCACTAAGACCAGCAATCTCTCCATTCTGTATCCTGAGGCAGAACCCCTTGACTATTTTTAATGCCTCTGTTGATGACCCTGGAAATTAGGGTATTGCAGCCCCAAGAAAAAATAATGCCCATTTTCTTCAGTGATACACTGCATGTTTTTGCACCCGCTTGCCGGTTGACAATCCTGCCAAAAGTTCTCAATTGAGCGGATCTTTATGGATCTTTTGTAGACCAAGCTGTTTCCCAGCAACAAGCACCATAAATCTAGCAATTCCACCATGTTTTTTGACAGACTGTAATATGGTGATTTTTGATGATTTTTGCGGACCCCTTTTTTCATACGTCCCCAGGCTTTTTTGCCAACATGTTCGTTTTATATGGTTTGATACTACATTCTTGTTGGCATTAAATACAGCACCTACAGATTATTCATGGATGAAGTCCCCAGGTTTGATTGTAGGATCCAAATTTTGGCTGGTTAAATTCCCCTGAACCTCTTTGGTGTTGCTAAAAAATCCTGTGCTTTGTACTGTAGATGTTGCAATAACAGTAATGTCTGAAATGGGGGGTATACCATGGCAAAAAAGGTATGGCCATGGCAAAAATTGGAAGTGAGGGTACTACAATCATGGCCCGAGATGCCACTCACAAGTCAGTAAGCTACCCCAGTTATAGCTATGGTTACAACCCCATTTAAACTCATACAAATAAGTGGTAAGGGCTGAATTCCCCATGTTCAACATGTTCCATTATTTTTCCTACGGTTTTCACCCGCTATAAACCCAAATCATGCATTTCAGACAGCTCCCAGGTATGTGGTGGCCAATCTCAAGGGCAACACCGATTCTTGCCAGATTTTTTGGATCGATGAACATCTATGGGAGTCCAACAGGTTCTTTTTTGGAGACCAAAGGAAGTTGGTGAATGTATATATATATATATGTACATGTTCATATATGTTCATATATATATATATAGTTCTATAAGTATATATATATGTATATTATATCAAGATACATACACACAGGCATAGATATGTTTTTGATGAAATTAAAGAAGTTTGTTGTTCTATCTGTTTTGGGGAAAATATTCACAAATGTCGGTGATGCCCACTTTTATTGAAGCGTAAAAGCAAGTGACTAGTTGACTTCAACAAAACGGGGCTACTGGTGCATGAGGCGTATGAACTGTCATAAAATCCGAGTAGAATCATGTCCAATGCCGCTGGACAATGACACAGCATCATTTCTTGGAATTTAACATCCCAACTTTGGAAGCCGCATTTTAAATGACCGTTTCGGTTACAGGCAGGTTACATCCATATCATTATCATCAAGACTTGGTGACCATCACGCCTTGGTTAACTTGGTTTGTACCCCACAAGCATTGGCAGTGGTTTCCCCTTTTTCAACACGACCAATTTCGAAGGATTTTTGTTGGTCGCCATTTTCAAGAGCTATGTGTATTTTGGTTTTTGAATCTCAGGCGTATTTGTTGGACATTCGGGCGGTGAACAAAGTGGGTGCGGGCGACGCACACGAATTTCAGTCTCCTGGCTTTTACCTTGACCGAGTTGATGACCTGGCAATGGGAAACCCATGGAAACAATAACGGTTGTGCGGTACATTTATACCCTGTATAACTTACTTGTGCTAAACGTAGGGAATGGATGGGTTGCTGGGGAATGGAATTATTATTGATAAATATTGTGGATCATGCCCTCATTCCCTACTAAGCACACCTAAGATAATGTTTGACTAATATTGATGCCAAATCACCCCTTACTGATGACCCACTGACATCAGAAATTAAAACCCATCAACCCGCTATGCAATTCCTAATAGCGCTTGCAGTCCCCACAACATAAAATGGGTTTGTCTGAAAATAGGATATCCCTATTGTTTTTTTGTGGTGTAAAGCATCATTTCCCCTCTTACTTCATGGCCATCAATTGTATAATGATATGAGCTACCGCTAAAATTTAGGTTAATACCAAAGATTGATGACTTGGAGCTATATACCAAATTTTGACCATGGCCCATATGGTTGCTTTATATGTTATTCCCCTATTTGGTTTGGTCAAATCCACCGTTTTCCTAAATCCCCATGAAATATTGCCAACTAACCCACTAATTCCTGACATCTATTCTCATCATGAAGTCACCAATAAGTTTTAATTCTATATCCCATTCGATCCTATTTTAGTTATTGAAATCCCTCCAAAGCAAGCCAAATACTGGTGGTCAAACCTGGTTTGCTGGAAAGTTTGCCATTTAACTTTGATCATTTTCCCATTAACCACCAATATTAAGACCCTGATTTTTTTTGGATTCTTCCTCTCCCTCGTTTCGAAGAATGGAAGGATCACCACAGCACCTGTGGCGCCAGATCCCCCGTCAAAGCCATGGGTGGAGGTGCCGGTTTCTGGCGGTCTGGTAGGGATATTTTAAGGGAGAATCGGAACATCTTGTGGGATATTTTAACGGATATTCTTGGATCATTTGAATTGTTTTTTGGCTATATTTTTAAGTTTCGGGTTTAGCGTTTACACCATAAATTCAGGGGAGATTTAATGGGAGAATTGGAATCATGGTCATGCGATTTGTGGAGGGGTACTGGTATACGATAGGCAATGAACTTATAGTTAACTTAAGTATACTTAAGTGGTGGTCGTGCAAGTCGATTAAAACCCATGATTTATTCCGAATATCCTTGCAGGGTATATATACAGACTTATGTTCAGGGATACCACACACTCCCGAACAAGTTTGAAGGGCATAAAATCCAGTTTCAATTTACCATCACCAATCAACTAGCTCCATGGCCCATGCAAGATTGCTTTATGATTGGCGAGATTCGGTATGGTTCAAAACTTGCCGTATTATATATATATATATACATACTGATTTCACTGAAGTACATAAAGTTGTAAATCAAGATGGACATCACGCTCCATGAAGGATATACATGATATACTTCTAAAATCTTCTAAACACATGAATGACGATGCATATGTCTTGTTTGGCTTTACCACTTTACCAAATAAATCAGGTTCTGCTTAAACACAAGTGTTCAACTTGTTCAGGTGAAGCAAGCGTAATGATTGGAACAACTGGCTAGCAATGGGGGATGCAACCCAGCAGATTGCTCGGACACAACCGAAGGACTCAGAAACCTTCACCTATATCTTGACCCTCGAATCCATCCAATCCCAGTGAAACATTGTTTGACCTAACAATATTGGGTTCTTAAATGCTCTTAAAACCCATTTTTCGCATGGCATCTCTGAAGGGTCTAGAACTATGTCGGTATGTCCAAAGAACCAACTACCAGGGACCCCCAATCTTGGCGGAATTGGACACCGGGTAAGATAATGTGTTCAAGAGAGGATACAGGATGGCTCCCCCACTGGGGACAAGGTTTTGGATATGCTTAAAAAACGCCAAGTAGGTCCCACAATTGCTGGGGACACTCCGATCGTGAAGCCGGTTGGCGCATAGATTCTAGATAGGGCCACCCCATATCTCATACACGACATAACAAGACAGTGTAGATAGATTCGAGCCACAAGGGGAAAGGATTCTGCGTAATTTTACCTGCCTCGTTGTCTAGCCATTTTAGCCTCCCAAGGTACCTAAGAGCCAGGGATGATCCTGTCATTGCCAGGAGGCGCGAGATGGATGCTTGAACGTGGCATGGTATTCGCCTGAAAACGACGGCGGGATACTAGGCTGACGAAAGGCTCGTGTTTGTTCAGGGACGATGATGGGTTTAGTGTATTCCGGAAGTGATAACGAAATACGAAGAACCCAGAGCACTAATGTTTGGGTTTAAATATGATGGGGATGACTTGGGTATCACAGGCGACCACAGACAACTCAGAATGTTGAAAGCCATCGGAAAAGGCTTGGTTGGCTGAGAATTCCATAATTTTCTTCCACCAAGTGCCGGACTTTATGAATTTTTGGATCAATTGGTGTATCCAAATCGGCTCGCCATATGCAAACCTATATTCCACCGAAGGTTTGGACATCTATTCGATTATCATAGTAGCTATCAACATCTATCAACAATAATCCCAGAATTATGGGAATCCCAATATGGCTGGGGCCTACGATAAATATTCCAGGTATACCCCTTAGATGCTGGAATATTTTTTTGAATATGTTTTGGGAATATTTTGGAATATTTTTGGCAAGGGGTATCTGATACCCCCCCTTCGGACTATACCTGGAATATGTTTAGCCTTGAACTTGAGCTTCCCATATCATTGGAATATGTTTGAATATATTTTTCTGATTGTCTGACATATTTTGGCATGTAGTATGCAGAAAGCTGCAATACTTGCACCGGAATCCTCCAAGGTCAAGGCAGCGTGATATGACAGCGTGGTTTTGCTATATTTTGCTAACTGAGGGATGCTAAGAGCTTGAAATTTGGTTTGCACAACCCCACCGTGACGCTAGCTGAAACCCTTCCATGCTAGCAGAAAGACTGCACCATCCAATTTTTTTCCGCCCGCAGCCAGAGTCTTTCAGAATTCAAAGTTGACGAGGATGCCAGGGCAGGTAGTTGCCAGAAGCCCAGAAATTGGACAAAACATGCCAAAACATATGACAACCAAATGCTTCTTGCCCTTTCTTACCCCCAAGCACATGAAAAGAAAATGGAAGTGAACATGGAAGAAATCCCAGCTCAGCCAATCCGCTCGCACACGTAGGATCCACATCTCCGCCAGTCCTTTGGTGGCCTCTCTGCAATCTGTCAGCTTTTCGCAACAATAGAGGCACTAATGTTCTCGCCAAATCATCGGACTTCAACCAGCCAGAGGAGACCAGTTCCTAGAAAAGACACGCTAGGACTAGGAAAAATTAAGATATAGAAAAGAGATGGGGGATACCGGAAAGGAAAACCGGAAAATATAAAAAAAAATGACACCAAAACCAAGCACTTCTTGCCCCTTCCCGCTCATTCCCATGTAATCCCAATGTGTGGGATATCTCCACGTGAGAAATTATTCTAGGATTATGTGAGATGTCCGGAACCATTCGAATAAACATCTAGCTGCGGTAACCACCCAACCAGCCCAGGAACAGGGCAAAACATGGAAAAAAACTAATCACAACCAAATGCTTCTTGCTGAAAAGAAGATGGAAGAAATAGAGGGAAACATGAAAGGTTGGGACATGTTGTGGCCACTTCCAGGAAAGAGCCATGTTGAATGCCATTCTGTGGGATTTCCACCAGGGAAGAAATTATTCTAGGGGTATGTGAGATGTCCGGAACCCTTCGAATAAAAAAGTAGCTGCCGCAACCACCCAACCAGCCAAACAATCGCAACCAAATGCTTCTTGCTGAAAAGAAGATGGAAGAAATAGAGAAACATGAAAGGTTTGGACATGTTGGGGCCACTTCCACTATGGAGGAATATTTTAAACATATTCCAAGGGGGTATGACCGGTTAGGGGTATCCTAAGACCCGGCCATATCCCAATTAACCAACCAGTATACTCTTAATGGAATGACATGTTTTTTCAATACGGAAATAAGGGGAAAAAACAGGGCCCTTCACATGTCTCACATGGTTTGCGAATGTTGTTTCGATCAAAATCGTTGGATTCAAACATTGCCAAGTGGTTTCCTGCAAGCTTTTGGAGCAGCTGAAAAGCTAAGCCAGGCAGCCTGGGATGTCCCTGCAACTCTGATCAAATACACAAAAACGAGGAACACCCCCACTTCAGTTCAGTAAAACCGCAACTCCATGACCTATCTGGGTAAATTATAACGACCTCATTGCGACCTCACTGGAATCATGTTTAATCAGGGAAATCATCCCCAAATGGCCTTAATTCAGGTTAGTGAAATATCATAATTTACCCAGATCTATGTGAGTGTCTTTGTTTCTGCACACGCCAACCACTTGTAAGACTCAGTCTGAGTTGTGCTTCTCTGAGTTGTGTTTCTTCTCTTTCTGTCTTCCATTATTGCTTGAAGTCGGTGCTGGAGGCATGCCCGCAAACACCGAGAATGTTGTCGCTTCGGATGGCGTGCTAAGCTCCAGCAAGGTGAGGGCGTTACCTTCCCTGATTGGATCGACCGCTTGCCTCGGTTTCTGTCGTGGATGACAGCGCTGAAGCGAGAACTCCGCATTGGCAAGACATTGCGCAGATCAAGGTGCCGCAATCTTGAGAGCAAAGCCTGCAGATTCTGGTTATTTTAAATATGTTGTAGTCATAAGAATCATAGTAATGATACCAGTAGTACCGCACAAGGCGGTGGCGGAAGTTCAAAAATAGGAAACCTATAGGAGAGGTTGGTTGTTGTGAATCAGGGATGGCAGAGCGAAGCCACTGATGGACTGAAAGGTGCTTGATCTCTCTCACTCTTTCTCTCTCTTTCTCTGACTATCTACCTACCTACCTATCTATTTTCTATGTATCTATCTATCTATCTATCCATCCATCTATCTATCTCTCTCTCTCTCTCTTTGATCTAATTACCCTATCTATCTATCTATCTATCCATCCATCCATCTATCTATCTCTCTCTCTCTTTCATCTGTCTATCTGTCTAGCTGTCTACCTGTCCATCTGTCTATCTATCTATCCACCCATCTATCTATCTATCTATCTATCTATCTCTCTATCTATCTATCTCTCTATCTATCTATCTATCCTATCTATCCTATCTATCCTATCTATCCTATCTATCCTATCTATCCTATCTATCCTATCTATCATACCTATCATATCTATCTATCTATCTATTTCTCTATCTCTCTATCTGTCTATCTGTCTACCTGACTATCTGTGGTCCAGTGTCATTCAGTGTCATGTAGTGTAGTGTAATGTAGTGTAGTGTAGTGGAGTGTAGTGGAATGTAGTGTAGTGTAGTGTACTGTTGTGTAGTGTAGTGTAATTTAGTGTAATGGAGTGTAGTGGAGTGTAGTGGAGTGTAGTTGTGTAGTCGTAGTTGTAGTTGTAGTGTAGTGGAGTGTAGTGGGGTGTAATGTAGTGAAGTGTAGTGGAAGGTAGTGTAGTGTAATGTAGTGTAGTGTTGTGGAGTGTAGTGTAATGTGGTGTAGTGTAGTGTAATTTAGTGTAGTGGAGCGTAGTGGAGTGTAGTGGAGTGTAGTTGTGCAGTTCTGTAGTTGTAGTTGTAGTGTTGTGGAGTGTAGTATAGTGTAATGTACTGTAGTTTAGTGGAGTGTATAGTGTAGTGTAGTGACCCGAAGCGAAGCGAAGTGACATCTGAGCCTCCAAAAGTGGTACAAACCCCGAGTTTTTTAACATTTTGACTTCAAAACGTGCTTCGCGTCACAACGGCGTGCACTTTTTCGAGATCTGAACTTCCAAAAGTGGTCCGAACCCCTAGTGTCTTTAACATTTTGACTTCGAAACGTGCTTCGCGCCACAACGACGTGCACTTTTTCGACATCTCAACTGCCAAAAGTGGTCCGAGAATGGTGTGTTTTGCACATTTTGACTTCGAAACGTGCTTCGCGCCACAACGGCGTGCACTTTTTCGACATCTCAACTGCCAAAAGTGGTCCGCACCTGGTGTGTTTTGCACATTTTGACTTCGAAATGTGCTTCGCGCCACAACGGCGTGCACTTTTGCGACATCTCAACTACCAAAAGTGGTCCGGAGCTGGTGCGTTTTGTACATTTTGACTTGGAAATGTGCTTCGCGCCACAACGGCGTGCACTTTTTCGACCTCTCAACTAGTAAAAATGGTCCGAACCTGGTGTGTTTTGTACATTTTGACTTCGAAATGTGCTTCGCGCCACAACGGCGTTCAATTTTTCATCTCTCATCTGGCCAGCTGGCTCCGCACCCGCCGCTAGCCTACTTTTCGACCCTCCTGAGCCACAAATCATTGGAAAAACACGGTGTTTCGCGACTTTCCTACCTTTTCGCGCGACTGCATCTTCTTTCTTCTGACTCTTTCTCTTCTTCTCTTCTCTCTTCTGATCTTTCTCTTCTCTCTGCCTCTTCCCTGCTCTGCTTTTCATCTTAATATTGTCGGAAGTTTGACTTCTAAACTTCCTTCGATCATGGCCATCACAACCATCATAAGCATCATAATCATAAGCATCATAATCATAAGCATCATAACATAATCTTAATAAGCCATTGCCAATCCATGGTCACAGTCCATTCCCTGGTTTAACGATGGTTAAAATGTGCAGTTCCCGTGCCGGGCCATTCCGGTTCGTGCCAGGCTTCCCATCAGACTCATCAGACGGATTGTATATCCGATGAATCCGAACGTTGAAGGTGGGACAACAATAGGGCCCCTACGGATTCCACCCTTAATCAGACATGGGAAATATTGGGAAATCACCTTTCAATAGGCATCTTAGTATAAAGTAAGTTATGAATACTTCTGACTGGGACAATGATCTATAGATTGGGTGATTTTCCAGCCATCTTTGATGACAGGGGGTTATTGTGGCGAGATCGGTCAAATCCCCAAGTGCAAACAGGTGCAACAGGTGGTTTATTCATTTTTCTTTGCAATGCTTTGCATAACCCTTCGTACAAGTGTATGACAGAAAAACAAATTAAAAACCACCCATCGCCACCCTATGTTTACCCTCCGTTAATCAAACATGGCAATGGACAATCCTCCATTTATAGAGGATTTTCCTATGGAAGCCACCATGTTTCCATTTTTTTCCGGGGATTTCCCAGATTTTGCCTTCAACCCAGCCATGGGTTTCCTCTGTCAGAGCTTTGCGTCCACCAAGGATGCCAATCACCGCCTACAGGACCCTGATCCAAGGGGGACCATCCAACTTACCTATGTTGGGGGTGTTTCCTGTGGATATCGTTTGCAACTTCTCAGATTGACCAACCCAAACTTTCCAAGCTAGTCAACTATTGGTAGTTATATCAATAGCATGCAGCATATCTATAAATAGATATCTGGATGAATTATAATGACTTCTCTGTGACGTCACTGAAATGATGAATTGTATTTGGGGAATCAACACCAAATGGTTTTATGTTAGTGTTAGTGATTTTATATAAGCCGGATGCCAATCATTTTTTGACCATGTAGTATGGGGATTAAATGGGATTACCATGGGGATATGATGACAATTTCTTGGAGGATTTATGAGATTGATTTTTGGTGGGATACCATGAAATACACACACCACTCACTAATTCCCGGCTTGCTCCAACCTACTACAGGAGCATGATGGCCAAAAGGGTAGTAAATTTACCTCTTAATATCTACCTCTAGGACTTTTGATTTTTTCCACCCTTGATACCTGGGTGTTGGGGGCAGCCCTGCTACTATATAAGTAGTGTGATCTTCTATGTACCTATCATTTTTTTTGCCAATCATTCTATCCTAGTGTTGGTACATGACTGCTCCATGTGTAATTCCATCCGATCATTCTTCAGTTTGCGGTCAGACAGGTAACCAACCCAAATCATGACAGGTAGAATTATCTCAGATGTTTTTGGAAGATGCCAGATAAGGGATCCATTTGGGCTGGTGTATATCTTTTATGACTTATGTATATATATATATATATTTATATTTATCATTATACATTCCTTGAACTCATGGTGTTTTTTGAGTTGCATGTAGCATCACGAACTACGGGGTCCTTTGGAAGGTAGAATACCATCATTGAGCCTTTCGGGTAAGTGTTTGCTTTCTGTCTGGTGGCTGCAGATATATACTGTAACATTTCTTTGTAATTTGTTTTTTAAAACCCAATTTAATTGAGATGCTGATGCAATTTGACTCTTTTTGTCAGATGGGATAAAGCATGCACTTAGTTCGGGCACACGTAATCATGGCCTCATCAGGTTGGTCAACTACCTCGAATATGCTCCATGTATCGTACATTTACATTGTGATTTTGTTTGGTAAATGTAAGTCGATATTTCAGCACCATGTGCATGTACTCACATTTGGACATCATAAATGTAAGTCATTTAGCCATATTATTTTTTGTTTTTTGAAATAAGGTGCATCACAATCTGTGATTAATACCATTGAAAGCCACACACATGTATATAATATATATATATATATAATATATATATATGTACACCCCCTTTATAAAAGACAGACCAGTGAAATCCTCCTAAAATAGTTTTGTTCTACTTTTCTAGTTGTTGGGGAACTACTATATTATTATTAATTGCCATGTATTCCGGGATTCATTTTTTTATTTTATATATGTGTATTTCTTGCAAGAATCATTTATTCTTATCATCATCATGCTATATCATATGTTCATGATTCCGCTAGTTCCGATCTTGCCAGTTTTGTTGAAACTAATTATACATGATATATGCATAATCCTTTTTTATTTGGGTTTGACTGAAAAGAGGGGATGGTGAAAATGATTGTAAACTATTGCAACTGCGGGTCTCCTATTTTCAGACATTATATATATATGTGTTTATAATGCAAAAATTATCATTATTTATTATTATCATGTATATAATTACTAGGTTAATCTATATCATATATTTGTCATTTTTTTAAATATACATAGGCCAGTAAACAATTTAAATCTGATTACCATTCATGTACATATATATATATATACATATATATAGGTATACATTTCACATAATATATATGTATATATATATGTATGTATATAAATATGTATATATGTGTATATATATATATGTATATAAATGTACATATACATATATTACCATCATTATTTTTCTTCTCATCATTATAATGTGTTTTTACTATATTACAGTATAGATATAGATATAGATGTATATATATATATATTTATATGGTACATTAAAACGACTTCACTGCGACCTCACTTTCATCATGGTTAATAAGGGGGATCATCCCAAAATGGCCTTGATTCAGGTTTGTGAAATTTAAATTACAATAATTTACGCAGATAAATGGGTGATGTCGTGAGAGCACATTGCCATGTCACTGAAAATTGCCAGGGATAGTAATTTACCCAGATATATAATCTGGTTGGTGGTTTGGAACATGTTTTATTTTTCCATATATCATATATTGGAATTATTGATTCCAACTGATTTTCATTTTTTCAGAGGGTTAAAACCACCAACCAGTAATTATTATTCACCATTATTAGCCATATAAAAGCCATTTTTTAACCATTATTAACAGTATATTAACCACATATTAACAATCATTTTGTTTGACAGTTTCATATATGGTTAAATTCACCAAATATGTATTAACCATATATTAACCATATAACCATATATTAACAGTATATTAGCAGTTCAACCAAATATACAAACTGTCTGCTTTTCTTAGGCCAGTCATATTTTGGCTCCTTGCCGTTCATCCATGATCCGCAGATCGCCAGGATCAAAATGCGAAAGATCCTGGGTGCCTCGCGTTGCCCGGTGCGAAAAAACACATTGGAGGAAGAAAGACATGGAAAACAACTTGGGAAAACCAACGTTTTCATGGGAATGTAATGGGAAAACCACCATGCTCATAGGATTTTTATAGGGAAAACCACGATTTCAGGGGAAATTTTAGGGAAACCCCACATTTTTTTGAGAATTGATAGGTGATTTATGCTTCCTAAGTTGGTTGAAGCAATGACTTGGATGTGCATCCAAGTTAGTCATCTGTGGGTCATATATGAGTTTTTATAAGGATGCGCCCTAAGTAGAAAGATGTAGAAAGGGAAGCAGTTGTTTCTCTCAGCTACCACTCCACCATGTCCACCATGTCTCCGATGTGAAGAATGTGTGGGAGGAATGGGATGAGTAGTTGAGGGAAACCTTATACATCCTTATATGGACTGGGATACCATTTTGGCTCCCCCAGCCTGCCAGGACATTTCTAGTTGCAAGTGTCGGGCTCCAAAATAGCCCCCTTGTTGTCTCGGTCTTGAGAGAAGATCGTATGCTCCTGTTGACTTGAAAACTGATTTCTTTTTTAGTCTTTTCAAAAAACAGACAGTGGGAGAATAGTGGGATAATTTTCCATCGGATGACTTTCCATGTAATGGGATGATGTATTGGGATAATTCCTGGATATTTCAAAAAGAAGGCATGGGCTTTGAAACGGCGGGCTTCATGAAGACCAAGACTCGCATCCGGCATACCATGGAACTGACGGTGATCCGGTGTTGCTGGTTCATTGAGGGATGAAAGAGCCTCAGTAGCGTGGTTGGCACAAGGTGGTGCCCCCAAAGTTATAAGTTGGTTTATAAACCACAGTAAGTATAGATATTTCTACCATAAACCGTAGTTATTGGAGTTACTGGCACCGGCACCCACTTAGCTTGCATATTTAGACCATTGATTTCGCCAACGTCGGCATTGTATGCAAGAGCAGTCACTAAATCCACCTTCTGTGCCTCTTGTCAAATCATAGACACACAGACAGCCTGGAATTTACTTGGTGGGTTCATGTTCAATTTCAGGCCCGCCGAATTATACATCAATTTGAAAGAAGATAATCCACACTATTTAAATTCAACCCGTATTTGTAGGCTTATTCTCCGGCCTCCGTTCCCAATCTAACTGCTGGTTTAATCAAATTGAATCCCCCAAATGGTAACATCATGTAATTTTCCTGTTTTTGCTGGTTCATCCCGCGTAAAGTGGCTAAATGCCCTAAACCTCTGTTTTACTGGTAACACATGTTGGCCTGGTTATGTAGTGTTAACATCAGCCTAGCACATAGTCCCAAAATCAAGAAAGCCAACTTCCCAAATGCATTTTGTAGTAAATCGCCTAACATATCCCCATAATATCCTACCGCAGATATATCCATGGAAATAACATATATCTAATGAATATGATGTAAGCCTAGTCAAGCTAGTTTTGCTTACCAACTTACCTACCTTGGGGGTGCCTTCCTGTGGATATATATATATATACATATAGATAGTGAAGTTTGCCAACCCTCAACTTACCCAATTAGTTTGGTATTGTTATATCTGCCAGCATATCGAAATGAACCATTTTAAATTGGTTTGTACACCATTGGATAAACATTGGATCTTAGAACATCTCATAAAATTTCCGTAATAGCAGACTAATTTTTAGCACTTAGTCCAATTAGATGTTTAAATATTAAAATTCACAAATCAGTATTGGATATCATTGTGTTTTGCTATGATCTCAACTATTGATACCTATTGGATATATCAAAGCGGATATCCATGTTATTTCCTATTTGAACACGGATATCATATCAAATGCGATGTTCCTATTCACAGTACCATCTAGATTTTCAATTTATATTATCCCTATTTTCTAAATAGCCCGATATTCAACTTCTCACCCTATGGATCCAACCCATACCTTCTTAGGAAGTGTGACTTGGGTATGATTTCAGGAGGTGTTTGGATCCATACGGCCGTATGTATATATATATATATATAATATACACATATGATGGGGTTTACAAACCAACACTTTTTACCTTCAGTACGAGGTGGTGAGCTAGTTTACGAAATCGCTAAGTCATAATCCCTATTTATTCTCAATATCCTGATGTGAAAATCTCATATTACAATGGGAGGTTTCCTAAAATGGAGGTAACCCCAAATCATCAATTTTTCGACAGAATTTTCCCTTCATGGAAACTTCCAATTAATTCCCATCTAGATTTTCAATTTATATTATCCCAATTTTCTAAATATCACCATTTATATTCCCATTTTAATTTTACACAATATATGGGATAATCCTTCCCGTTGGCTAATATGTTTCAAGATGGGTTGAAACCACCAACCTGATTAGTTAATTTTGAAAGTTAAGGTTAGCAACTAGTAGTTTGTGCAATCTCACCAATTTTTATTCCCATTATAATACTCCCATATATACATGTACTATTCACAACAAATTTCCCATGAATTCCCATATATACATGTACTATTCACAACAAATTTCCCATGAATTCCCATATATACATGTACTATTCACAACAAACATGAATCCCATATAAAATGGACTAGTAACAAAAAAGTTACCATATGATATTAACATATATACAGCACTCTGCACAAACAAAATTCCCATGCATTCCCAATATTACATGTACTATTCACAACAATTTCCCATGAATTCCCATATATACAGTGTACTATTCACAACAAATTTACCATGAATTCCATATATACATGTACTATTCACAAACAAATTGCCCATGAATTTCCTCATATTACATTACTATTCACAACAAACTCCCATGATTCCCAATATACATGGACTATCCCAATAAATTTCTCATGAATTCCCGATATACATGTTTACTATTACAACAATTCGCCCATGAATTCCCATTAAATAATGGGACTATTGTCCCAATAAATTTCTCATGAATTCCCATATATTACATGTACTATCACAACAAATTCCCACTGAATTCCCATTATACGGATATTTCAACCGCGGACTTATTCCCAATTAAATTTTCATGAATTCCATATATTACATGTACTATCCACAACAAATTCCCATGAAATTCCCATATATACATGGACTATTCCAATTAATTTATCATGAATTCCCATATTACATGTACTATTCACAACAAATTTCCCATGAATTCCCATATATACATGTACTATTCACAACAAATTTCCCATGAATTCCCATATATACATGTACTATTCACAACAAATTTCCCATGAATTCCCATATATACATGGACTATTCCCAATAAATTTCTCATGAATTCCCATATATACATGTACTATTCACAACAAATTTCCCATGAATTCCCATATATACATGGACTATTCCCAATAAATTTCTCATAAATTCCCATATATACATGTACTATTCACAACAAATTTCCCATGAATTCCCATATATACATGTACTATTCACAACAAATTTCCCATGAATTCCCATATATACATGGACTATTCCCAATAAATTTCTCATGAATTCCCATATATACATGTACTATTCACAACAAATTTCCCATGAATTCCCATATATACATGGACTATTCCCAATAAATTTCTCATGAATTCCCATATATACATGTACTATTCACAACAAATTTCCCATGAATTCCCATATATACATGGACTATTCCCAATAAATTTCTCATAAATTCCCATATATACATGTACTATTCACAACAAATTTCCCATGAATTCCCATATATACATGGACTATTCCCAATAAATTTCTCATAAATTCCGAATGGAAATATCCCATTTCCTATTTGAACCACTTTTAAGACTCCCATGTCCGCTCCAGGTTGGAACTCCTTCGGTCCAGGTGAAACCGCTGCCAGCTGGGTCGAGATGGGTTCCGTGTTGGCCGCAGGCGAGCCGCGAGCGAAGAGCCGTTGACGTTGAAGTGATGATTTTAAGGGACTCTTATAGGAAGTTTATGGGAATTCATTGGATTTTTGAGGGTTTTATGATTTTTATTCAATTTTTTTGGAAAATTTTATATAATTTTATGAAATTTAATGGAAGTTCGTGAGATTTTATGGGATTTTATCGGATGTTTTTGGATTTTACGGGATGCAATTGGATATAAATATTATATATATATATATATTCATTCATATTTATATTTATACACATATATATATATATTATGTAAATACTATATGTATATGATAATGATTACGATCCAACAATCAAACATGGCTAGCTGGAGAATCCTCCTTAAACGGAGGCTAACAAATGGGAACATCCTCTATAAACGAGGGATTTTCCAGAAAAGCATTTGATTACGGGAGGGTATCCATGTGAAGTTTATGGCGATAGAATAACTGTGCAATAATGGTATATCATGAGGATACATAAGCCACTGTAATATGATATTAGTGTCTGAAATGAGCGTACTAGAGTAATTTCAGCAAATTCTGGACATAGCCTTCACTGAGGAAAAATGTGACCTTTCTACCTGATTCTACCTTTTGATCTGGTCAAGTTTGATTTAGGCATTCAAGTTTTGCAATGTCAAAAAACCATCCACTACCATCTACCATCGCTGCAAAACACAGTGAATCCCGTGTGCTTTCCTGATACATGGACCTGGCCAACAGAAACATAATCTCTTTAGGAGGGTGTTTCTATCAACCTTCATCGCCCACCGGAAAGTGGAGGCTATGTCAAGAGCATCAAGGAGGGATAATGCTGGATCAACGAATTGACTTGGACTGGTATCCAACAGAAATGTGGCAGAACACCAACAAGACTATGGAATAATGGGATATATAAAGCTATCCATGTTTTTTCCTTGATACCTTTGCATGTGGGGTTCATGAATTCATCAGCTCCAGGGATGTTTTCCATGATGCATCTTCAGTTGATCTGGCAAATATACCATGCCCGGATTACCCTCTGGATTTTCTTCACCTAGGCCCTGAAAATCACCCATGTTGAGTGGAAACTACTCTTCCAACCCCGATGAATGGCAGGGTCAAACTGTTAATTTACTGGATGGTAATGTCTGGGCAAACAATTGAAGTCTTTATGACTTGAAATTAAACGAAAAACCAAGGAGAGTGACCCATACAGATAGATTATACCGACCTCACTGCGACGAGACTGGAATGATTAGCGGGGGTACCCAAACATTTTCAAACTTTGCAGTTTAGTGAATTATCATCGTCATCATAATTCAACATTGAAATTTCTTGAGCAAATCATTCTAATTCATCCATTTTTCCAGTGGGTATACGGGATGATGTTCCTACCTGACCTGGAGATCTGTCACAAATGGATAGAATTCCGAGCAATTTGTATCTGTTTTTCTAGTCCCACTAGCTCAGCCAGAAAAGTCTAAAATGCCAAGATGATGTGGTAAATCTACTTTTCATTGCTTTGTTTATCTTTGGTTGGGTAAATGAACCTAGTTTAACAATGTTTCAGAGTTTTTCTAGGATTCGATGGATACACTATGCAAGTCATGGCCCATTTGGTTCGATGATTCGCCGAAGTTATAGCCCCTTCCCCGTTATGGATGTCAGTGAGTCACCCAATTTGTGGAATGAGAACCCCATCTTTTTTTCAGAATCAACAACTGGAGTTCGGCCTTGAATCCATTTAAATCCCAATTTTCCAATCGTTTTCCTATGGTTTTCCACCCGTTTCCGTTTCCGCAAAACCGCAGGCGATGCGTCCATGTACAATGCCTGGGTTGGCCCGCTGGAAGTCGGAGCTTGTGCCTTGGGGTAACCATAGTTGGTTCATACGAGTTCACTAATAATGGGATAATGAGATACCCTGTGGTAATTTAACAAATAGGGGTACCCCCTTGCACCATCCATTTTGATGATATACTCCCTGGTAATTCAACAGTTTGCTTTCGAACATGGGCCACTTAGTTCGTTGATTTACCAAACTTAAAGATGGTGGTTTTCCATTGTTTCTTTTTTTTAAATGTTTACCAGAGGGTACTGTAGGTTAATCATAAACCATGAATTATGATTATTTTTCATAAATTATTAACCATTATGAATTATATATATATACGTGGTAACTATGAGAATCTAATGATTAATCATGGTTACGGGGTAATCCCAATTAGTAGGTGGTTTATAACCCCTGAATCTAACTGGGGATATCCTATGATCGTAACTGGGGTATAATATAGTTTAATATGGTGAAATTTATCCGCTCATAAGTTGAACTGCTTCCAAGTAACTAGGTTAACCATAAACCATAAATGTTTACTTGTAGTATGGCAGATATACTACCTACTATTCATGAACTTTATAACTGCGGGGGCACCACGTTGTAGAATTAATGTGGACCCTTCCAACCAGCTGCGGTGGGCAAAAAAAGGTGGTACTCGTATGTTTGTTGGCAATCGAGCAACATTGACAATTAAACCTGAGACACTTTCTATCCAAATTGTGAAGTTTTGTCACAGCTTCTGGGCTTTGAGTCCTGTATTCCGTTGGCGCTAGGTTGCCAAATGGAATCCAGCATTTACTGACAATCACAAGACCAAGTCCGAGGGAAATACAAAGACTCCCTGACTCCCTGACGTGACTCGAGGTGAGCAGTTGTCCCATATGAGAATGGGAAATTCTCATTTGTAATGTGGTTAAAACAATAATAAGCTACCCATTTATTACCCATTTGGGAATTGTTTTGTACCACCTATAAAAATGGTGGTTTGGGGGATGGTTTATTATTGTTTTAAGCACATCAGGTAGATTATGATGATTTCCGCGGTGCCCATTGAGTTCGGGTCATCTTTGATTAGCGACATGTTCTTGTTGCCTGGTAGCCTGGCACACTAAGCTGTGATCACCCGAGGCTGACCAATGGGGATACCCTGGGGTAACCAACATAGATATTTTAATTTTAAACAAATGGGTTCCCGTTAACTAGCTAAGTTGGTGCCAATAACTACAATCACTAAGATTTATGGTTGT